GACTCAGACCCAGACTCAGACTCAGACTTAGACCCAGACTTAGACCCAGACTTAGACCCAGACTTAGACCCAGACTCAGACCCAGACTTAGACCCAGACTTAGACCCAGACTTAGACCCAGACTTAGACCCAGACTTAGACCCAGACTTAGACCCAGACTTAGACCCAGACTTAGACCCAGACCCAGACTCAGACTCAGACTCAGAACTCAGACTCAGACTCAGACTCAGACTCAGACTCAGACTCAGACCCAGACCCAGACTCAGACTCAGACTCAGACTCAGACTCAGACTCAGACCCAGACTCAGACTCAGACTCAGACTCAGACTCAGACTCAGACTCAGACTCAGACTCAGACTCAGACTCAGACTCAGACTCAGACCCAGACCCAGACTCAGACTCAGACTCAGACCCAGACCCAGACTCAGACTCAGACTCAGACTCAGACTCAGACTCAGACTCAGACCCAGACTCAGACTCAGACTCAGACCCAGACTTAGACCCAGACTCAACTCAGACTCAGACTCAGACTCAGACTCAGACTCAGACTCAGACTCAGACTCAGACTCAGACTCAGACTCAGACTCAGACTCAGACTCAGACTCAGACTCAGACTCAGACTCAGACTCAGACTCAGACTCAGACCAGACCAGACCAGACTCAGACTCAGACTCAGACTCAGACTCAGACCCAGACTCAGACTCAGACTTAGACCCAGACTTAGACCCAGACTTAGACCCAGACTTAGACCCAGACTTAGACCCAGACTTAGACCCAGACTTAGACCCAGACTTAGACCCAGACTTAGACCCAGACTTAGACCCAGACTTAGACCCAGACTTAGACTAGACCCAGACCCAGACTCAGACTCAGACTCAGACTCAGACTCAGACCCAGACTCAGACTCAGACTCAGACTCAGACCCAGACCCAGACTCAGACTCAGACTCAGACTCAGACTCAGACTCAGACCCAGACTCAGACTCAGACTCAGACCCAGACTTAGACCCAGACTCAGACTCAGACTCAGACTCAGACTCAGACTCAGATCAGACTCAGACCCAGACCCAGACTCAGACTCAGACTCAGACTCAGACTCAGACTCAGACTCAGACTCAGACTCAGACTCAGACTCAGACTCAGACTCAGACCAGACCCAGACCCAGACTCAGACTCAGACTCAGACTCAGACTCAGACTCAGACTCAGACCCAGACTCAGACTCAGACTCAGACCCAGACTTAGACCAGACTCAGACTCAGACTCAGACTCAGACTCAGACTCAGACTCAGACTCAGACTCAGACTCAGACTCAGACTCAGACTCAGACTCAGACTCAGACTCAGACTCAGACTCAGACTCAGACTCAGACCCAGACCCAGACTCAGACTCAGACTCAGACTCAGACTCAGACCCAGACTCAGACTCAGACTTAGACCCAGACTTAGACCCAGACTTAGACCCAGACTTAGACCCAGACTTAGACCCAGACCCAGACTTAGACCAGACTTAGACCCAGACTTAGACCCAGACCCAGACTCAGACTCAGACTCAGACTCAGACCCAGACTCAGACTCAGACTCAGACCCAGACCCAGACTCAGACTCAGACTCAGACTCAGACTCAGACTCAGACCCAGACTCAGACTCAGACTCAGACCCAGACTTAGACCCAGACTCAGACTCAGACTCAGACTCAGACTCAGACTCAGACTCAGACCCAGACCCAGACCCAGACTCAGACTCAGACTCAGACTCAGACTCAGACTCAGACTCAGACCCAGACTCAGACTCAGACTCAGACTCAGACTCAGACCCAGACTCAGACTCAGACTCAGACTCAGACTTAGACCCAGACTTAGACCCAGACTTAGACCCAGACTTAGACCCAGACTTAGACCCAGACTAGACAGACCAGACTCAGACTCAGACTCAGACTCAGACCAGACCAGACCAGACTCAGACTCAGACTCAGACTCAGACTCAGACTCAGACCAGACCAGACCAGACCAGACCCAGACCGCAGACCAGACCAGACAGACTCAGACTCAGACTCAGACCAGACTCAGAAACTCAGACTCAGACTCAGACTCAGACTCAGACTCAGACTCAGACTCAGACTAGACTCGCAGACTCAGACTCAGACTCAGACTCAGACTCAGACTCAGACTCAGACTCAGACTCAGACTCGACTCAGACTCAGCAGACCAGACTCAGACTCAGACTCAGACTCAGACCAGACAGACTCAGACCAGACTCAGACCAGACTCAGACCCAGACTCAGACTCCAGACTCAGACCAGACTCAGACCAGACTCAGACTCAGACTCAGACTCACCAGACTCAGACTCAGACTCAGACTCAGACTCAGACTCTCAGACTCAAGACTCAGACTCAGACTAGACCAGACTCAGACCGACCAGACCCAGACCCAGACCCAGACCAGACCCAGACCAGACCAGACTCAGACTCAGACCAGACAGACTCAGACCCAGACCCCAGACCCAGACCCAGACCCAGACCAGACTCAGACCAGACTCAGACTCAGACTCAGACCCAGACTCAGACTCAGACTCAGACTCAGACTCAGACTCAGACTCAGACTCAGACTCAGACTCAGACTCAGACTCAGACCAGACTCAGACTCAGACTCAGACCCAGACCCAGACTCAGACTCAGACTCAGACTCAGACCAGACCCAGACTCAGACCAGACTCAGACTCAGACTCAGACTCAGACCAGACTCAGACTCAGACTCAGACTCAGACTCAGACTCAGACTCAGACTCAGACCCAGACTCAGACTCAGACTTAGACTCAGACTCAGACTCAGACTCAGACTCAGACTTAGACTTAGACTCAGACTTAGACCCAGACTCAGACTCAGACTCAGACTCAGACTTAGACCCAGACCCAGACTCAGACCCAGACTCAGACTCAGACTCAGACTCAGACTCAGACTCAGACTCAGACTCAGACCCAGACTCAGACTCAGACTTAGACTTAGACTCAGACTCAGACTCAGACTCAGACTCAGACTCAGACTCAGACCCAGACCCAGACTCAGACTCAGACTCAGACTCAGACTCAGACCCAGACTCAGACTCAGACTTAGACTCAGACTCAGACTCAGACCCAGACTCAGACTCAGACTTAGACTCAGACTCAGACTCAGACTTAGACTCAGACTCAGACTCAGACTTAGACTTAGACTCAGACTTAGACCCAGACTCAGACTCAGACTCAGACTCAGACTTAGACCCAGACCCAGACTCAGACCCAGACTCAGACTCAGACTCAGACTCAGACTCAGACCCAGACTCAGACTCAGACTTAGACTCAGACTCAGACTCAGACTTAGACTCAGACTCAGACTCAGACTTAGACTTAGACTCAGACTTAGACCCAGACTCAGACTCAGACTCAGACTCAGACTTAGACCCAGACCCAGACTCAGACCCAGACTCAGACTCAGACTTAGACTCAGACTCAGACTCAGACCCAGACTCAGACTCAGACTTAGACTCAGACTCAGACTCAGACTTAGACTCAGACTCAGACTCAGACTTAGACTTAGACTCAGACTTAGACTCAGACTCAGACTCAGACTCAGACTCAGACTTAGACCCAGACCCAGACTCAGGTGTAGACATGTGTGGATCTGACCCCAGTTTGACCATTTCTATCAGTTTTAATGAACCCAATGAAGGATTCTTTAGTAAAAATATGTTGTTGTAAAATACTGTTCAAAGAAAAACTCATTTATTTACGTCATTATAGGTTTTCTAGTCGAGGGTTCATATGTTAGTGCCGTAGGATCCAACTGGGACTCTGAGGAGCACAGGGACTGGCCTCCTGCTGGGACTCTGAGGAGCACAGGGACTGGCCTCCTGCTGGGACTCTGAGGAGCACAGGGACTGGCCTCCTGCTGGGACTCTAAGGAGCACAGGGACTGGCCTCCTGCTGGGACTCTGAGGAGCACAGGGACTGGCCTCCTGCTGGGACTCTAAGGAGCACAGGGACTGGCCTCCTGCTGGGACTCTGAGGAGCACAGGGACTGGCCTCCTGCTGGGACTCTGAGGAGCACAGGGACTGGTCTCCTGCTGGGACTCTGAGGAGCACAGGGACTCCTGCTTCAGAGGAAAGGAAATGGAAAGTTTACAAATGTTCTTCGGTTGAGTAAAGGAAAAGGAGCCAGCACCTAGAAAGTGCTGTGTCACACACACACACACACACACACACACACACACACACACACACACACACACACACACACACACACACACACACACACACACACACACACACACACACACACACACACACACACACACACACACACACACACACGTACACACAACATACCAGTGGACTTTCCTCCTACACACACACACACACACAGGCGCACAGGGACTGGCCTCCTGCTGGTCCCAGAGTCAGGACTAAACATCAGGAGGCAGCATTTCAGATTTACGCAGCTAAAATCTAAAACCGTCTTCCTGAAAATGTGAGACAGACTTCTTCTCTGACAATGTTAAAATCCAGGTTTAAAAAAAAATAAGTTTTGCTGCTACAACTCAGGGACTGCTTCTTTACTCTTTTTAATGTACTGTGATTACTTATGACTTTAATGCCTTGTGGTAGTGTGTGTGTCTTGTTTTGTCGCCTTGTGTATGAACTGTGCCAAACAATTAAACTTGCCTGTGCTTCCTGACCTTGCATGACAGCCGTACTCACCTGCATTCCTCACACACCGACAACTTCAAATGAAAGGAAAAGGAAAGTTTACAAATGTTCTTCGGTTGAGTAAAGGAAAAGGAGCCAACGCCTGCAAAGTGCTGTGTCACAAACACACACACACACACACACACACACACAACATACCAGTGGACTTTCCTCCTACACACACACACACACACACACACACCCGCACACGCCCACAAAGCGTTCATAAGCGAGCAGAGGAAACAGCTGACAGAGAGCGCAGCCGTGTCAACAACAGCACATGGTGAGGACTCCGCTTTAAAACTATTATATTTTTATGTTGCCATGGATACACACTATAATCCTGCATTTCTTATCCTAGTATTTGAATGTATTACCTTTGTTTAACCCTTTAATCTTCACTCTTCTCACGTAAATGTATTTTTCTTTTTTTTCTATGATGTTGGAACACTAATATATTTTTTCCATGATGTAGAAGCACTAATATTTATTTTCCTTTGATGTAGGAACACTAATATTTCTTTTTCTATGATTTTGGAACACTATTTCTTTTCTATGATGTTGGACCACAAATATTTTTTTTTCTATGATGTTGGAGCACTCATTTTTTTTCTATGATGTTGGAGCACTAATATATTTTTTCTATGATGTTGGAGCACTAATATATTTTTTCTATGATGTTGGAGCACTAATATATTTTTTCTATGATGTTGGAGCACTCATTTTTTTTCTATGATGTTGGAGCACTAATATATTTTTTCTATGATGTTGGAGCACTAATATATTTTTTCTATGATGTTGGAGCACTAAAATTTCTATTCTATGATTAAGGAGCACTAATAATTTATTTTCTATGATTAAGGAGCACTAATATTTTTTTCTCTATGATGTAGGAGCACAAATATATATTTTTTATATGACGTAAGAGAACTAGTATTTTTGTCTATGATGTAGTAACACTGATAACCCCTATTTATTTTTTTATTCTAGGCTTTTACCAAATGGTTGAGATGCAGTGTGATGGTTTATGTACGTCTTCTACATGTTTAATCACATTTAACAAAAGGAGATTTATTCCTAATTACAATTTCTTACAACGGACGATATTTATGTTTGAGGCTTTCGAGCAGATTTGAGTTTGCGAGATTCAGAGGTGAAATTTAGTAAAAGATAACACAAAAAACTAGCACCACACGTTTATTTAAAAGGAAAGAAATCAGGTACAAAAATGAGTCACATGAGAGAGACTGTACTGTAGGTAAACCCCAGCAGGTGGATTGCCTCTGTGCAGTGTGGGAAGACTGTGAATGGACTTTTTTAGAGTGAATATTACATAACTGCCTTTAAAAAAACTTACTACAGTAGATAATTACATCCTATACTGTATGTTGATGGGATTTACACACGGGACAGACGGGTTTCATGTTATAAAGTTGACTGGGCTTGTTGATATTTGCAGCAGATGGAGTATTCTTCCACAATGAAGTCTGAGACCGAGGCTCAGATGGACCGACTCTACCCCTCCCTGCCCTGGACCCACAGGGGCAGCGAGACCGAGACCGAGACCAGCAGAGAGGCAGAGACCAGCAGAGGGACCGAGACCGAGACCAGCAGGGGCTCCGTGACCAAGACCAGCAGGAGAACCGAGACCAAAAGGTACAGGGAGACCAGCTATCCACATGGTGCATGGTGCTCTGGTAGTGGCATAGTATAGTTGTAGAAGTAGTATCCATAGTAGTAGTAGTCTGAGTAGTAGTAGCAGTATTTGTCATGAACTCTTCGAAGTTATAATTGTTGATTGAGACGATGTAGAAAAGCAGATTCCAGTGTTTTTTGGTTTATTTCCTCTCATTCGTGCCAAAATGCCTGCACGACTTTGACCAAATCCAGTGCAGCCAAGAAGGAAGCTGTCTGTCATGTGTGTTTTTGTACAAACACAGAGAGAGAACTGTGTGTGCCGGAATTCAATGATTCTATTGTTAAACCTCTCATTACCATAACTCTGTGTCCAGGTCCAGGTCCAGCTCGCAGAACCAGTCCTCGCAGAACCAGTCCTCGCAGAACCAGTCCTCGCAGAACCAGTCCTCGCAGAACCAGTCCTTGCAATCCTCACTGAACCATGAGGACACTGTGCCTCATCGTCCCGGATCTCCACCAGAAAACACTCAGGTATTTTTACAACTAATCTCAACCTCTCTGGTCTCTCCCTGGTCTCTCTCTATATTCTTTCTGGTCTCTCTCCCTGGTCTCTCTCTCCGGTCTCTCTCTCCGGTCTCTCTCTCTGGTCTCTCTCTCTGATCTCTCTCTGGGTTCTCTATCTCTGGTCTCTTTCTGGTCTCTCTCTCTGGTCTCTCTCTGGTCTCTCTATCTCTGGTCTCTTTCTGGTCTCTCTCTCTGGACTCTCTCTGGTCACTCTCTCTGGTCTCTCTCAGGTCTCTCTCTGGTCTGTCTCTCTCTGGTCTCTCTCTAGGTTCTCTATCTCTGGTCTCTTTCTGGTCTCTCTCTGGTCTCTCTCTGGTCCCTCTCTCTCTCTGGTCTCTCTCTCTCTCTGGTCTCTCTCTGGTCTCTCTCTCTCTCTCTCTGGTCTCTCTCTGGTCCCTCTCTCTCTCTCTGGTCTCTCTCTCTCTCTCTCTGGTCTCTCTCTCTCTCTGGTCTCTCTCTCTCTCTCTGGTCTCTCTCTCTCTCTCTGGTCTCTCTCTCTGGTCTCTCTCTCTCTGGTCTCTCTCTCTCTCTCTCTGGTCTCTCTCTCTCTCTCTGGTCTCTCTCTGGTCTCTCTCTCTCTCTCTCTGGTCTCTCTCTCTGGTCTCTCTCTCTCTCTCTCTGGTCTCTCTCTCTCTCTCTGGTCTCTCTCTGGTCTCTCTCTCTCTCTCTCTCTCTCTGGTCTCTCTCTCTCTCTCTGGTCTCTCTCTGGTCTCTCTCTCTCTCTCTGGTCTCTCTCTTGTCTCTCTCTCTCTCTCTGGTCTCTCTCTGGTCTCTCTCTGGTCTCTCTCTCTCTCTCTCTCTGGTCTCTCTCTCTCTCTCTGGTCTCTCTCTCTGTCTCTGGTCTCTCTCTGGTCTCTCTCTCTCTCTGGTCTCTCTCTCTCTCTGGTCTCTCTCTCTGGTCTCTCTGGTCTCTCTCTCTCTCTCTGGTCTCTCTCTCTGTCTCTGGTCTCTCTCTGGTCTCTCTCTCTCTCTGGTCTCTCTCTGGTCTCTATGGTCTCTCTCTGGTCTCTCTCTGGTCTCTCTCTGGTCTCTCTCTCTGGTCTCTCTCTCTGGTCTGGTTGCCGGAAAACACTCAGGTATTTTTACAGTTTCTTGCAACCTCGGAAGCCTCCTCTGTCTCATAACTCTGACTCTGCGACTCACTCTTGCATCACGTTCCTGGCATCGAGCCAAACAAAACTTCCACAAATATGTAAAAGGAAGTGGTTCTGTGCGTTCCAACGACACCCGTCTGTGATTACGGTGCATTACGAGGGTTTTTCTTTCTGGTTTTGTGTATTCCACCAGTGATTTTTGATTCTGACAATAAAAACCAAATATGTAAACACAAGCTGACGTTGTGTCTGAGGATTCACGATGCATTTAAATGACTTTTTGGTTTTGGTTCTCTCCTTTGCAAGAGAAGACGGCTGTAATAAAATCCACAATTTCATTTCAATTCCTAAAGCCCTAAATGTCATCAGCAGTTATCACGGAGGACTTCAAAGTTGTCGATTCGCAAACACAGATCAGAGAATCAAACCGTTTTCACTTTAGTTACTTCAACCCCCACATTATTTCTCATAAAAACTGATTCTGTACTGATCAAAACTACAATTTCTTATAGAACCTGGAGTTCGCTGGAAAAATGAAAGAGCAGATCAGGGTGTTGGAAATGCAGAAACTGGAGGTAAGTAAAAAAAATTACTCTCTCTCTCTGGTCTCTTTTTTCAAGTCTCTCTCTGGTCTCTCTGTTTTCTCTCATGTCTCTCTCTCTGGTCTTTCTCTGGTCTCTCTTTTTTCTCTCATGTATATCTCTCTGGTCTCTCTGGTCTCTCTCTGGTCTCTCTCTGGTCTCTCTTTTTTCTCTCATGTCTCTCTCTGGTCTCTCTGGTCTCTCTTTCTGGTCTCTCTCTGGTCTCTCTCTCTGGGCTCTCTCTTGTCTCTCTCTGGTCTCTCTCTCTCTGATCTCTCTCTCTGGTCTCTCTCTCTGGTCTCTCTCTTGTCTCTCTCTGGTCTCTCTCTCTGGTCTCTCTCTGGTCTCTCTCTCTTGTCTCTCTCTTGTCTCTCTCTCTGGTCTCTCTCTTATCTCTCTCTGGTCTCTCTCTCTGATCTCTCTCTCTGGTCTCTCTCTCTGGTCTCTCTCTGGTCTCTCTGGTCTCTCTCTCTGGTCTCTCTCTGGTCTCTCTGATCTCTCTTTCTGGTCTCTCTCTGGTCTCTCTCTCTGGTCTCTCTCTTGTCTCTCTCTGGTCTCTCTCTCTGATCTCTCTCTCTGGTCTCTCTCTCTGATCTCTCTCTCTGGTCTCTCTCTCTGGTCTCTCTCTGGTCTCTCTGGTCTCTCTCTCTGGTCTCTCTCTGGTCTCTCTGGTCTCTCTTTCTGGTCTCTCTCTGGTCTCTCTCTCTGGTCTCTCTCTTGTCTCTCTCTGGTCTCTCTCTCTGATCTCTCTCTCTGGTCTCTCTCTCTGATCTCTCTCTCTGGTCTCTCTCTGGTCTCTCTCTCTGGTCTCTCTCTCTGGTCTCTCTCTCTCTTGTCTCTCTCTTGGCTCTCTCTCTGATCTCTCTCTCTGGTCTCTCTCTCTGGTCTCTCTCTGGTCTCTCTCTCTGGTCTCTCTCTGGTCTCTCTCTCTTGTCTCTCTCTCTTGTCTCTCTCTCTGGTCTCTCTCTGGTCTCTCTTTCTGGTCTCTCTCTGGTCTCTCTCTCTGGTCTCTCTCTCTGTCTCTCTCTCTCTCTGATCTCTCTCTCTGGTCTCTCTCTCTGGTCTCTCTCTGGTCTCTCTCTGGTCTCTCTCTCTGGTCTCTCTCTTGTCTCTCTCTGGTCTCTCTCTCTGGTCTCTCTCTTGTCTCTCTCTGGTCTCTCTCTCTGGTCTCTCTCTCTGGTCTCTCTCTCTGGTCTCTCTCTCTCTGGTCTGTGAGTTCTTACTGTGTCTCTCTCTGACTCAGCTTCTTTCCATAAATGAGCGATGGGCGAAGGAATACCGCGTCATGGTGCATTACTACAAAGAAAAGGTAACTCCCTCCACCACAACCATCAACTCTAGTCCTAAACAGTAGTCAGTACCATGTGTACCAAATTATACTGGTACAATCTAGTCATCTGATCTTTTTCTTGGAATTAAAGAGTCACTATAAGTTTCTATTTGACTGTTTGGGCTGATTAGCTGAGAAAGGCTCGCTTTTTTAATTTTCTTTCTAAAAATAGCTGATCTAGTTATGACAGAGGCCAAAAACACATGCATGACAACTAGTTAGATGTATTGTTTAACCTAGTTATATTGTAGTTTGAAAGTTAGGTACCCCAGCTTTAATGAGTAGTTTGACTTTTGTTTTGATGTAGTTTTATTCAGCTAGAATATTGATTGTTAAGAGACTGTATGTTTTGATGCTTTGAAACTCATTCTGTAATCCACTACTATAATTGGGTCAGATTTATTGTTGAAAAAAACCGAATTAATAACTATTTTTCCCCCTCAAAACAGCTGCACACTCACAAAGCCTCACTCCCTAAAGAGAGCAATGATCGGAGTGAAGACCTGGGCCACGTTTGCAAACTTAACTTACTCATGGACAACACAACAGTAAGTGAATTTTTATTATTTCAGGGCATTTTTTTTTTACTACGACTGCAATAGTTTGTCACCGCATCATCTAATTGTCTAATCTTTTAGACAGGATGTTCTGAGGAACTGGTAAAAGCTCAAAGTGACGCAAGAGCACTACAGGAGCAGAACCGCACCTTGGCCAGAAGAGGGCAGCACCAGCGCAAGGAGATCACACGCTTGAATAAGGTGAGGAGCCTGGCAGTCAAGGAAACGGGAAAAGAACACACGCAAAGTTGATTTAATGATGATTGTTTTGAGCAGGCTTTGGAGGATACTTTTGTGACAACGTCATCGTCACGGGAGATGAGCCATGAAACACTACAAGACTTATGGAAATATCAGGTAAGAATTTAAAATGAGAGAACCGAGACTTTTCCCTGAGTAAAGTCGCACTATTTAAGTTATTATTATTTATTTATTTATTTGTGGCTGGTGCTATGAGACTCCCCTGACCCAGAAATGGATTAAAGGGTAGAAAATGGAAAAAAAAAAAAATAATATATATATATATATATATATATATATATATATATATATATATATATATATATATATATATATATATATATATATATATATATATTTTGCGTAAAACAACGTTCACAATGCACATATTATCTTGTTTTGATTAAAAGTTGATTCAAAAAAAGCCAAGAGGCATTCAAATATAGAGAAATGCTGTTTATGTAACTAGCGGAGTAGCTAACTTTCAATAAAATTAATAATAATAAAACATATGTGTTTGCCCCGACAGAAAGCGTTTTGTAAAAGTAACATATTGTGAATAAAACAAACCACAATATGCTGTCTTCATCTATTTAGAAATATGTTATTTGCAAGAGCCCTTTGCGTCACTATTTGACCCTGTGGGCTGAGAGCTGAGTGGCCGAGTGAACGTCATCCTTTGCTTTATTTTTCTTTTCTGTATGAAAAAGACGATCTATAGATGTGACAGAGGCCAAAAATACATCCATGTGAAAACTAGTGATAACTGTTTGGAGAGCAGGAACCAGTTAGATGGATTTTAGGTACATTTTTAGTGGTTTGAAAATTAGGTATCTCAGCTTTAAGTCAAGCTTTTGTTTTTGGACATTTGCGGTGACGTTCGAAATGTCAGGCGTCTATAAGCTATATTCCTTTTATCAAACCTTTTTTTCAAAGTGCCTGAAATTGTCTTTGAATTGTCAAAAATGTTTGGAATAAATGAATGAATTGATAATTAATTGATCCTTTTTATTTCTCAATCTGTTTTCAAAGCTTGAGACAGATACTGCGTTTATCTTGTAAAATTCTTGAAAAAATCCTGAGAAATGGCTCTAACTCTGTAACAATGCCAGAGTCAAAGGTCTACAACAGTCTTCCTGAAAACATGAGACAGTCCTCTACTCCATTACTATATACTTGTTGTATTGTGTTGAGTTTTTAGTGCAACTTATCAATTGGGAAAGTCGATTTTGATTTTATCGGTGTTTTTTATTCCAGGCTGACGTCTACAAAGAAGACTTCCTGACAGAGAGGAAGGACCGAGAAGCTCTTCAAACTAAATACTTAGCTCTGGAACAGAAATACAAACGAGTCCGGAATGAGCTGTACGTCGCCAGAAGCCAGGTACACACCGTCGCTACAGGCCGTGAAAATGATCAAAGTGTATTCATATTTGAAATTTTAAAAGTGCTTGTTCTTCTTTAAGGTGCCGTGTGCTCAGTGTGAATGCACCTGCACACATCCTGGGACCGAAGACCTGAAGCTGCAACAACGAAACACGTGATAGACACAAATACACAACTGCATTCAAGCTGCGAAACTGAGCCACATACAACACTACACCAACTACAACGCTATAATACCAGGATTTTAGTTTTGGTGTAAATACTCAGGGTTTGTACATTTTTGCTCTTTTATGACTTTGTATGGAGTTTATTTCTATGTCATTATTTTTTTTTATCAAAGTCCGTTTTGGGTTTTAAATGTGGAAAGTAACAAAAAAATCTCCCTGGACGCAATTCTCTCTGCGGCCACAAGAGGGAGTTTACTTTTCAAACTTTCTGTGGTAAAAATACAGCCGTGCAGTTTGTAACGGAGGTCGACTCACGGCAGATTTTACTGAAACTAAAATGTAGCACCAAGTTCACTCATTTACTGTGTTTGCAGCCTTCAAACAAAGATTACCACTCACTGTATTGTATATAATTATGTTTGTGTTTATGATCAGTGAAGGAAGATAGCTTATTATGGTTTTTTCTGCTTTTGTTGTGGTGTTTTCTGTTAAGAATAAACAAAAACTGATGCATTCAAATATTGTAAATTAAAAAACTGGTCCTTCTCTTTTTTATTATATTCTATTGTATTATAAATATATTCACACATATATATATAAATACATGTCATATATATATATATAAAAAAAGCATAATAATGCTACGGTTTTATATAGCAGTCTTTAGACATTTAAAGACGTTTCACATGTGATTATTCTTTTAGTCCAAACACGGTGGTGATAAACTACTACTGTAGCCACAGCTGCCCTGGGGCACACTGACAGAAGTGAGGCAACCAGTCTGTGCCATCAGCCCCTCCCACCACCACAGACCATTCACACACACACCAGACTCATTTGAGGAAATGTGGGTGAAGTGTCTTGCCTAAAAACACAACAACAGTTTGGCACGTTTTACAGCCGCCCCACTGTATCACCTGGTGTTCCCACTTCCCAGCAGTCTCCCATCACAGCACTAACCAGGCCCTGCTCTGCTTACCATCAGAGGTTAGTTTTGTTACATCCCTCTCCATAGTTCCGCTGGATCAAAGAGGGGACTAAAATACGCAAAGATGTCCCCGGGCCTTTAAACCGGGACGAGGGGGGCTTCGTTACTATCGCACACCTGGGCTCCTGTACTGGAGAAAGCAGACTGCAGAGGGCGCTGTTGTGCTGCCTCTGGGGGTAAGAAGACGGCTAAAAACACGGTCTAAAACAGCTGACAAGACACATCACATGGACATCACGTTTCCACAGTGGCAAAGACAAAACATGCGTCAAAACTGTAAGAACTTTTCATATGGGCGGCAGTAGCTCAGTTGGTAGAGCGTTGGCTTTTGAGCCAGAAGGTCGTGGGTTCAAGCCCCGCTCAAGACTTTCACCATCGACTCCCACTGACTACTGTCGTTGTGTCCTTGGGCAAGACACTTAACCTCTGGGAACACCAGCCACAGTGGGGCGGCTGTAAAGTGCCAAACTGCCGTTGTGTCCTTAGGCAAGACACTTCACCCCCATTGCCTAGAATGAGCCTGGTGTGTGTGTGAATGGTTGGTGGTGGTCGCAGGGGCCGATGGCACAGACTGGTTGCCTCGCTTCTGTCAGTGTGCCCCAGGGCAGCTGTGGCTACAGTAGTAGTTTATCCCCACTGTGTATGGAGTGAAAGAATAATGACACATGTGAAGACTCTTTGAGTGTCCAAAAAAGCGCTGTATAAAACTGATGCATTATTATTAAATCCCAAGACAACTGCTTCGTCCTCAACTCACCAATATCGTCCTTTTCCCCATGAATATGTTTATTAGGCCCGTTTCCAGGAGACTAAACCGTTTCCAAATTCTTCCACATTTATATTTCCTGCTGGTATTTTTATAGCCGTGCGTTTGATCACATTATGTCCCGTTCGCAGCTGTACAGTATCACATGTTCATTTATCCGCTGCCAAAGGTAGATTGAATTTCCCTTTAGCTAAAAGAGGAGAAGTCCATTAGCAAAAAGCACAAAATGAGTTAAAAATGATTCAGCCAAAGTTTGGTTCGTGGACCCAAAACTAAAGTGAATGAATGTAGATTCTCGAGCTTGGTCCGTCCTGGTTATTCGACTTTTCCAATGGGGTAACTTCCTGCTTTTCGTCGTGGAAAAGCCTGAATCTTTAACTTGGGTCAGCTCGCCTCACCACAGACTTGACCTGTAATGAAGTGTGGTGATTGTGATGCAAAGAAAAGTAGGGATAATGTTTGTGAGAAGCCAGGTTGATGTATAGAACGACTCCTGGATTTAGATCAAAGCAATTCTGTTAAATTAGGTAATGTATTTTATCCTGCATTTCTGCACATGTATAATATTGTATATCTTGTGTTTTTATGTACCCCCACTGGTGCTTTGTCGACCAATGAAGTTCCTCACAGATAAATAAGAATATATTTAAATTTAATTAGTCTCTCCTCATAAGACGAGACAAATCTACAGCTATACACTTTTACATTGCATCTAGAAACATATTTTCCAACTTCATAAACTGCTTCCTGATTGGTGCAAAACTATAGCATACATTGAAATAGGTTGGTAGGTTGGTAGGTTGGTAGGTAGGTAGGTAGATAGATAGATGCGCCCAGGCCTATAAACCGGGACGAAGGGCCTTTGTTACTATCACACACCTGGGATCCTGTCATGAAGAAGTCTGACTGCAGAGGGCGCTGTCGTGCTGCCTCTGGGGGTAGGAAGACGGCTACAAAAACAGTATAAAACAGCTGACAAGACACATCACAGCAAATCTAACCAACTCAGCACTTTTAATCTACATCCTACTAAGAACGGAGATAGATAGATAGATAGTTGATAGATAGATAATTTCCCACCGAACAACATCAAACTTGGACCTCACTTTTAAGCACCTGCTGGAGGCCCTTAAACCCGCGGATGGAACGATGAGCATGCGGCTTGTTTACTCGTCTGCCAAACATGTGCAGAGAGCGGAGCCGTAGCAGATAATGAGAGTCGGAGACGCGTTTGAAGGCATTTATTGGCACTGAATTAGCTGCAATGTGTTCCTGCTTACTGCACTGCAAAAACACAAGTCAATACAAACTGGAAGTGATTGTCGGCACAACTAGATAAAGTGCATGTGGGGAAATGTCTGTGCTGGAATGAACTCTGCCTGATTATAAATAACAGGGTAATTGTGAGGGAGGCAGCTGCTGAAGTATTTACAGGGATTTCAAAGGTAAACGCCGTGCCCAGTGCTCCGTGATCATAGAATAACTAAGTGTGATGTGGACAAGAGGAATGGACGTCCGATTCCTTCCGACAGATAAATAGGTTAAATACATTCTATGAACGTTTGGTAGAAAAAAACAGAATGCTGACATTAGTGTGGGTTGGTTTTCGCTAGCACAGTTAGCATATGTTTTCTGCCATTGGAGAGGTATTCCGTAAAATATAGAATAGAGAAATGGACCTGGAGATTCTGTAAGTGCTAATGTTGAGAAGTTAGGATCGTCTGAATAAAATGATTGTCTTTAGCGGTTTCTCAGAGATTTACAACAACAACAAATCTAAAACCTTGTGATTTCTGTTTGAAACATAAGTAGCTTTCGCTTCATCAAATGTGAATCAGTATAGAGTTGTCGTATCTGATTTTAAAGCTCAAAAAAGATAGAATCCAGTCCATTCGTGTTGTTGGCTCCTGGACCATTTTGGTGAACTAAAACGGCCCTCAAAAAAGTTTGGGCACCCCTATTTTAACGGCGACACTGTGTACTATTAACGGTTAGCATTCAATGGCCTTTCAACAATTCGTTTTGCTCTATTTCCAGTTTTAGCACATATTAAAGGAGAGTGGAGGCAGTAACCTCAGACATTACTTGAAAATAAACGACGAAAAACAAACTTTTTGGGAGTTTTTCTCAGAATTCCATTGATTTGAAATGGAGCCGTCAAAACGACTGCGAGTAAGGTTTGGGAAGATTGTTATTAAGACAAAAGTGTATAGTAGCTAGTACCGCTACCATAGGTGATTAAGCAGTTCTACCTTCTTTACACTTCTGTCTATAAAAATAACTTTCTAAACCTTAAACATGAGGAGACATGATTTACATTTATGCCTGATAGTAGTTTCAGAATCCTGGGAGTTCTAGCTTTAGGGTTGGGGTTAGTGAGATCATGTTTTGCACTGAGAATCTGTGAGAGAAAGAGAACACATCATTGGTTTTCTTTAGTGCGAAAATAGAGAAGCCAAAAATGACTTATTGAAGACCAGAATGGTAAAGTTACTGGAACCAGCGCGATATTATTGGAAATACCCCCTCTGTGGGACGACTAAAGAATCTCCTCATCTTAATGAATGTGCAGAAAAGACATTTCTTTGCTCTCGTTTTATGGAATACCTTTCATTTTGCCCAAATCTGTCTCAGTGAAAACACAACCCCAGTCCTGCACACACACACTTTGGTCTCGTCAGTAAAATCCCGGGTTGGTGTGTTCGATGACGCAGCGGCGGCAGTGTCGTCTCACGAACTTCAGCGCCTCCGGAGAAACCTCGCAGTCCTGCACGTTCAGCAGCTGCAGCTCGCAACAGTTAGCCGCCAGCGCTTTGAGGCCTCTCCCCGACACGCTCTCGCACGCCCTCAAGCTAACGCGCCGCAGTCCCTGGCAACACATCGCTAGCTGCTCCAAACCGCAGTCCGAAACCAGCGGGCACTTCCCCACGTCCAAGGACTTCAGCTTGGAGCAGCTCTTGGCCAGGTGTCCCAGTCCGTGATCCGTCAAGCCTTCGCACCCTCTGGCGTTCAGGTAGCGCAGTCGGGGGCAGTAGCGCGCGACGTAGCGGATGCCGACGTCCGTGATGCGCGTGCAGTGTGCCACGCTGAGGTAGCGCAGGCAGCCCTCCAGACGCGCCACTTCTCGGAGGCCGAAGTCCCCGATGAGGCGGCAGTCGCTGAGGCTGAGCTCGCGGATGGAGGGGCAGTGCAGGGATAGGTGGCGCATGGATTCGTCGGTGAGGCGGGTGCAGCGGCGCAGGTAGAGGTGCGTGAGGCGCGGGCAGTGGGAGGCGACTGCGCGCAGGCCCTCGTCCTCCAGGCAGAAGCAGTCGCTCATGTCCAGGAAGCGCACGGAGATCTGCTGACCGTGGAGAGGCGAGAGCTGCAGCGTGGCCTCCGCCGTCAGACTGATGCAGGTCACTTTGGAGCAGCCTGAGGAGAGAGAGGGAGGTAAGGGGAGGGGGGGGGAGGTGAGGGGAGGGGAGGGGAGGGTGGGAGGGAGGGGGAGGGGAGGGGAGGGGAGGGGAGGGGAGGGGAGGGTGGGAGGGAGGGGGAGGGGAGGGGAGGGGAGGGGAGGGTGGGAGGGAGGGGGAGGTGAGGGGGTGAATGAGTGAATGAGTGAATCCACCACCTCTGCTGCTGTAATCTAAATTGTTGTTGCCTTACTATTGTTATACAGCTAAAATTTAACTAAATGTATCTTCATTTGAGCACATTCTGACAATATAATCCAATGGGACAAAGAAAAATTATCTTGTTTTCAAAATATACAACAAATGTCTCCCTTGGAATGCAAAAATAAACAACAGTTTTTGAAATAAGACTAAATGGCTTTGTCCCATTGGATACTCTTATCAGAATGTGCTCAAATTAAGATACATTTTGTCAAATTTGAGCAATTTGAGCTGAAAAAAGCTGAGTAGAAAGTGCAACACTCCCATCTAGTGGAAGATGTGGGACATTACATGAAACTAGAATCAGTTCTAATCAGAAACAGACCGTCCTGATTGGCTCTTTGGTACCTCGGCTGTTGCTACCCACATATTTGGCTCCTGGCTCCCTCTCTTGGAGCCTGCTTGAGTTTAGTTCAACAGTATGTCAGCACTGATGACAGACTGTAAAACTTATGGAAGCTGTTTGTAAGACGAAAACTAAATCATTTGTGAACCATGATTTATCCCAATCTGAAATCTATTAATCTTTTAGACAGTTGAATGAAGGGGAAAGATCTTGCACAGTTTGAAGCAGGAACACTTTGTACAGACATTGTATATGGTTTCAAGAAAAGAAATTGGGGGAAAATGGCCTTAACGTCCACTATTGCTACAAATGATCTTGATTTCATTATTCAGACTTTTCTTACTCCACAGAAACAGACTTCCTGATGGTAATTGTACAGACGGCGCTATTTATGTCAGTGTCTTAATGAAAGCAACAGGCCACCTCTCTCTCTCTCTCTCCATCTTTCCGTCTAAGCTAAAAGACTTTTTTCATTTCCTCATGGGAGCTGCAGGTTGGCAAAGCGTCGGCTGAACTGAACGTCTAATGCTTTTACCAGCTCCCGTAGAAACGACAGAGAAGAACTGAGCCAGAAATGCACAGAGAGGTGAGACCACATGATGTCAGCCACAGTCTCATTCCTCACAAAGGGTCTCGAGCCCATCTGCAGCAGCTTTGGGAGCGTTTTATATCAGTGCTGAGTGGATTTAGAATGTGGAGTGAGTGAAAGTAGAGCATGCACCTGCCGTCTTCGCTGGAGTCGCAGAGTGAATGACCTCAACCCAGGAATGGGATTGATATGTGTTGAATGTGTCGGGATTGATTTGAAATTCACGTTAAATGTCCAAGCTGTTGTACTGTTAACTCCTTCTATCTCAGGAAAAACTATATAAATATAGATTTTTAGATTTTTTTTTATTATGCCTTATTCTTCTCTGCTTTTGACTTGATTGCACTGAGAGCCAAAGCAATGTCCTAGTTTCTCTGTTACTTTTATGACAATAAAAATGAGTCTGATTCTGAGTCTGTCGTGGGATGAGCTCTGAGAAAAAGATTGTGTGATTTTCAAAGTGGTTTTAATGCATTGAGAACTGTTTGCACTACACTTTCGAAAGAGAATGTCAGGCAGAGTGGTTAGCCCTCTTGCTTCTCAGTTAGAAGGTCCTGGGTTTGAATCCCTCTAGAAACAAAATCCTTCAGACTGGAATTTGCATGTTCTACACATGTCTGCATAAGCTTCCCCTACCACTAATATCCATAGGTCAAATCCTCCACCCTAATACGGCGACATCTGCTACAGACACACACGCTCCGGTTGCATTGGAGGAATGGGTCAAATTTCCCAATGGGGACAGTAAAGTCTTAACTTAATTAACTTATTTTACAAAATAATGAGGGAAAAAATATTACGTACTTGATCTCTTTAAACGAGGCAGTAGTCAGAATGCATTAAGGATGTTGACTAGCTCCTGTCAAAGATGTTTGGGGAGATGCTTCTACCCATTGAAAATAAATAATTGGTTTACCTCGCTGTCAATCATTGTCCCCAGCACCAATCATGTGTCCCCTTTTCCCACGCCAGCACACATCCAGCCGCCCTTGTGGGTCACTGAGTCTGTTTACATAGCCAATTAGCTGCTATCGCTAGTTCTATGTGATATTAAAGACAGTAAGGGACAAAAAAAAACTAAGCAAAAGACAGCAGAGGACTCATTTAAAACTCCAGTTACCGTGTGGGAAAGTGCCTAATTTTCAGAGAGGCAGGACTCTCTTAAATGTTTCCCTGATCTATTTCAATTCCGTATATTGTCAGTCGTTGCGTTTACCTGAGAGATTGAGGTGCTCCAGACTGGGACACCTGGAGACCACCTCGAACACGGACTCGTTGGAGATGTTGTAGCAGCCTCCCACCTCCAGGCGGCGCAGTTCTGGGCAGCACTGGGCCAGCACATGCAGCCCGCGGTCACTCAGCCGCTTGCAGCCGTTCACGATGACCGTCTCCAGGGTCAGGCACACGTTGGGAGTGTCCTGACAGAGGCGGTGGGTCAGGACCCGGATGGCGCGGTCCACGTGAAGAGTCTCTCCAGTCAGACGGACCGTGCCTGAGTGGGAATAAGGCCATAAACTTTCACTTTTCTCTCCCGTTGGGTTTTTAGATTTGTCCCTTGCTGATGCAGGAGGGTCTGAGGACAGTGGTGATGATCCAGGACACTTGACATTCAACCACATTTATGGACCTTGGTCATCCGCCCGTTATGCATCAATGACTTTATCATTGAATTTCCTGTATTTGAACTGTTTTACTCTCTTCCTGTCTGCAAATTGACTGTCCTCATGTGTTATTCATCCTTCTAAGAAAGAGCTTTAAGTTAAAAGTCACTATTTGACGCTATGGGCTGAGAGCTGATTGGCTGAGTAAGATTGGTTCTGCCTTTGTCACTTTTGATTTCCATACTTTATTTTGAGCTATAAAAAAATATAACATATAGCAGCATTCAGAAAGCACTGTACCCACACACATGGGCAAGAAAAGAATGAAGAACAAAACAAAACAAAAGAAGGTACAGGGTCCATATGGAAACTATTGCAAGAACCAACTTGTTTTGAGAGTGAGGGGAACTTGTTAATTTATTACACAATACATTATTGTTTGAAGTTCCGTACCCCAACTTAAATAAATTTAACAGATACAAAACTAACCCTAACTCAACTTGACATTGTAATCATATGGATAGACTATGAAGAACATATTAACTAGCATACTATATCTGCAAACTGACTGAAAAAAGTCATATATATTAGCTCAAAAAGCGGTAGCCCTAGCTTAACCTGACATTGTAATCATATAGATGGATAGATATAGAAAGATAGACTCTCAAGAACAAATATTGACTACTAGCACACTGATCTACCAATCTAAAGTGAGTAAATACAGCAGCCCCCAGATATAATATTTTATAATGTGCATACCCCAGAGGCGAGGGTCCCAGGCCAGGTTGTACCAGCGGCGGCACACTCGGGCACATCGGCACAGCTGGTTGGTGGGCAGATGGGACAGGATCTGCAGCAGGGTGTGGTCCGGGAGCCGGTCTATGGGCGCGTGGAGGAGGTGGGTCTTGGAGGCTCGGGTTCGGCCTCCCGGCTGAGGATGCACCACGGCCACGGTCTCTGCCACAGCGGAGGAGGCCGAGGAGGAGTTGGTGTCATGGCCGTTACTGGACAAAGCCGGGGAGGACAGAGAGGACGACTTGGAGGGAAGGATCAGGCCAGGACTGGGGGTGCTCAGGGTCCGCGTACTGGAGTCCAGACCTGGTGAGAGAAAGGCGGGTTTGAGACATTCATGCAGAAAATATGAGCAGTGACAAACTTCCCTCAGGTCGCTCCTCTCTTTATTAATTGAATGACTAATGACATGATGAAAGTACACCGTTATAAAGAAGCAGACAGACAAATGGCTCATTCAAAATATATCAAAAGTGGAAAACTATATGTAATGATTTCTAAGCATGTCAAGTACCTTTATTACCCCAAAGTCATCTCTCTGTGTGTGTGTCTGTTTGTCTGTGTAGGCAGGATTTTGAAAAAACAACTAGACTGATACACTCAAAGAAATGATTCAGGTGGTTAGTATTTTGAACTCAAAATACATACTAAACTAAACTCAATAATTGATTTTTGCCAGTTTTACTTAAATTAGTGTGGTCGCAACTCATTTTAAACATGTCGGTCTCAATTAAAAGTTAATACAAGAATCCTAACTCATTTTTGTAACAAATTTGAACTTGATATTCTGGCATAACTGGACAACGGAGAAGTATTGAGTTTGCTCAACATGAAAATCCTCTTGTAAGCCTGGTGGCCCATTAATGAAAAAACAAATATATTGAGTTGATTCAAAATAAATATATTGAGTTGATTCAAAATAAATATATTGTGTTGATTGAAAACAAAATGTGGCGAAGCAGTGACGCTACCCAGAATGCATTGCAGCGAAAAATATAAACTTCTTAAAAATTCTACATTTGAGCATTAATTTTAAAACTGAATATGAAGCAAGTCCTAAAGCAAAATACTTGAGCAACATTCTGAATAAACTAATTTGACCAAATAAGTAATTGTATTTATTTTTATCAACCATGATCGAGAGGGCCATGCCAAAGCAGTCCTATACTCCCTGTGTCACCCTTCAATTTTGAACAGATACTTTAAGGTGGACATGTTTACCAGTGACTGTGCTGGCCCACTCTCATATATATGTGGAGTGAGAGACTACTGCCTGAAATTAACAATTGTGAACCGTTTTGTGAATCTAATCTTTGAAAGATGGTATTTGAATAAAGATTACATATTCCTGACTGAAAATCACTTGTTGAATATACTCAAAAAGATTTATTTTCAATGTAATTATTTAAGTTGGTAGTATTGTTAAAATTAAGTTGAACTGATGCTAAAACACTTGCTGAATATACTTAACAAAGTGTCTTTATAACTCAATTATCCAAGTTGGTGGTATTGAAAAAATTGTGCTGGACCAATGATAAAAGACTTACAAAGAATACTTAAAACACAGTCTTGTTCGCAAAACTTAAAAAGATGCATGCAAAATGCTGCCTCAATTTTATTAAGTTTTGCCAATGCATTTTTTTTTGGGACAACATTTTATTAGATGGAAAGAAAATAGACTTTAAATCAGCTGTGTTTGTCTCTCCATGGCCTCGCACCAAAGTATATCTGTGACATGTTAGTGACATATGAACCAACTGGCACTCTGAGGAGCACAGGTACTGGCCTCCTGCTGGTACTCAGAGGAGCACAGGGACTGGCCTCCTGCTGGGACTCTGAGGAGCACAGGTACTGGCCTCCTGCTGGTACTCAGAGGAGCACAGGGACTGGCCTCCTGCTGGGACTCTGAGGAGCACAGGGACTGGCCTCCTGCTGGGACTCTGAGGAGCACAGGGACTGGCCTCCTGCTGGGACTCTGAGGAGTACAGGGACTGGTCTCCTGCTGGGACTCTGAGGAGCACAGGGACTGACCTCCTCCTGGGACTCTGAGGCGCACAGGGACTGGCCTCCTGCTGGGACTCTGAGGAGCACAGGGACTGGCCTCCTGCTGGGACTCTGAGGAGCACAGGGACTGGCCTCCTGCTGGGACTCTGAGGAGCACAGGGACTGGCCTCCTGCTGGGACTCTGAGGAGCACAGGGACTGGCCTCCTGCTGGGACTCTGAGGAGCACAGGGACTGGCCTCCTGCTGGGACTCAGAGGAGCACAGGGGCCTTCGGGCTGGTCCCAGAGTCAGGACCAGCCGAAGAAGAGGCAAAGTTTCAGATTTATGCAGCCAAAATCTGGAATAGTCTTTCTGAAAATGTGAGAGAGGCTTCTTCTCTGACAATGTTCCAACTGAGGGATTGGGTCTTTACTATTTTGAATGTACTGTGAACATGATTTTAATGCCTAGTGTGATTTTTTCTATCTTTTTTTGATCAGCACTTTGAGTTACCTTTTAAATGAACTGTGCTTATACAAAACAACTTTACCTTGCTTCAGGTGCAGGTTCTAGTTAGGATTAGTTGTTCTTGAACTATCAAACTCCTCTGACTGTAACATCATAGACAGACCATCTCTCATCCATTAAACATGTCTGTCCACTGTCACATTCTTAAACATGAAATCCCAAAGTAAATATTCTCAAGATTAAAATCAACAACAACAAAAAACTAATATTGGCTCTTATTAAAAGTTCCTGTTGGCTCGAATCCAGAAACCCGCTGGAAACAATTACTCTAAATCGCCATTCGTCCAGATAACGCCAGGACTTTCCATGGTTTTAAGTTGTTTGACGTACAAAGTTTGCGTTATCTGGCTGTTGCCGTGGTGACAGTCACACCCGCTTCATATCTGATGGACTGTGGCGTTTCAGAGTCGCCCACTCGTCACATACAGACTCTTTTCTCGCTCTTGGCTCATCCCGACGCCGTGTCCATTGATTGATAACCGTTGCTAACAGGGAGCCACACGAGAGACGCCTTCGTTGAACACAGTGGGGAACTATGAGTTTGAAGTAGACTGTGGAGTCCATGAAATAGACACGTTACTTCAGAAAGTACAGCTTCTGTGGAAATGGCCTGTGTTCTAAAATTTGCAGAGAATTCCAGACTTATACAGATCAATGTGAGCCTCTCAAAGGTTTCTCTTTTTTTCCCAATGGGTTTTTTAGAGTTGTTCCTTGTCTATGCAGGAGGGACTAAGGACAGGAGTGATGATCCAGTACTCTCTGCATTCAACAATATTAATGGACATCAGTCTCAGTCCCTGGTCTCTGTTTGATTCTCTGATGTGTGTTGGCGAAATCAAAAAAATAAAACATATATTATTTTGAATTGAAAATGGGGCTACAGTGGCTCAGTTGGTAGAGCTTTGAGCCTGAAGGTTCCAGCCCACCCCATGACCGTCTCCACCAACACTGATGTCTGCTGTCATAGTGTCCTTGGGCAAGACACTTAACCCTACTTTGCCTGAAGCCCCCGCTGAAAGATCAAGGTGGATCTGTGGATTGGGTGCAGCTGGTTGCCGCCCCCCTGACCCAGAAATGAACAAAGTAGAAGACAATGGATGGATGAATTGAGTATTGCAAGAATCTATTTTGGCAGCACAATGTCACCAAAACTGCCTTCCACTTCTGCGCTTTTTTAATAAACCCGTATTGACTTGTTCTTTAGCCGCAGAATGCATTTGTGACATGAAACCGTTCGGATACGACCAAGTATTTAAGGCACACTGGAGGGGCATTTAGACGGCAGCTCTGGCCGGGGAGGACGGGTCTCAGCGGTCTGGGGATGTCATCAGAAAGAGGAGCGATCCCACAGCTGTGATCCACATCTGCGGACGGGGCACTTGTCTTTTAGCGCTGTCCCCAGATCAGCTGCTGCCGGCTCCACGCTCCAGTCCACAGGAGCAGAAATCCACATTAGTCATGAACTCACTGACATGTGCAAGCAGGGCCTGACTACAGCAACACAGACACACGCAGGCTTTGTGCGTCACCGCGGGGGGAGAAGTCAATCCTAATGCATTTATGATCCGCGTTTGTTTATAATACACTGCAAGAAGTGATGAAAAACAGGTACAAAATTGCTCAAATTTAGCCAAATGTATCTTAATTTCAACACATTCTGACTGAGACGAAGCAAAATGATCTTGTATTAAAAAGATACAAGAAATGTCTAGCCTGACTCTCGCCAGACCCTTGTAGTTTGCTGAGCTTCACACGAGGGTCTGGGTCTGCTTCATAGCGGATACATTTCAGACAGCGGACCTTGTAAAAAAATCCTTGTATGTGATTGGATAAACCACTTGTCTGTTATCTTGAACGACGTGTTCCTTCAACCAATCACATTGAAGCACACGATTCAGCACACGACTCCCATGGGTTGCCAAATGCCGGCAAGATTTTCCAGCCTAAAACCCATGAGAATTCTCCAAAAAAAACAAAACTTTTTGTCTATTTAATACCTACACGTCTCTTGGAACAGAAGTATGCAGGAAACCACTCAACCTGGCAACCCTGCTGCATAGTACTTAAACCAAACTTTAATCAAATATTTGACTCTTAAAACACACATACAGTATAACAACATGGAACCATCAACATCTCGCCCCATATTGCATTAAAAGTGACATACGTGTCTTAATTTGTTCGTATTTAAACTTTTAAAAACATTCACGGACTTTATGTCCTCAATCTTGGATTGCTTTCGCTGCCGCCTGCAACACGCTCGAGAAGGCGGTGCAAACTTGACGTTACACTGGCGATCCTCATTGTTTGATTATTTTTTGATCTCCTGTCAGTGTGCCCCAGGGCAGCTGTACCACCACCTGAACTGTCTCCTCTCGACATGGAGAAGCAGTGGCTCTACTCCGAGCTTCTCCCGTAAATGTCGGAAATGAAAAAAGACCTATGATTAGATTTTGGATTTCACCATCTATTCAGGAAACTTGCTTGACAAAAATAAATCAGTATTAAATCAAGGGTTAGTAGGTCCTTCTAATGAGACATGTAAGACCCTCTCTGAGTCCTAAACATAAAGAAGACATAATTAACTTTTTACTTTAAGTATTAAATCCGTTTTCGGTGATTCTGAGATTTCTTGTCTGAGGTTTAATGTCTCTTTCCACTGTCCTCAAAAAGTCATGGAAAAGTAATTTGACAAACCCAGTCAGAGATGAGCTGCCGTTACAGTAAATACAAAATCTGCTCTGATTTGACTGAAATAACATTATGCAGATTCACAAACTTCTGTAATTGGATAAAAGGCCACAAGCTAAAAAGAAACACATTAACAAAAATACCCCGATCCGCACAGCCTAAACAAGTTGGACTTAGTCAGAGTGCGAAGGCTTATTGGCAGGATATTGCGGCCTATAACTCGCCTTAATAAGTGAACAGGCAGCGTTGTGTTTTATATCGATGTATCACTTGCAGTACCCGTCATTAACAGCGCAAATTTTGTGCAGCTGCTAAACTCCTCTTCAAGGCACGGAGCTTCGAGCGAGGCGGACCGACCGAACGCAGGCATTCACAAAGCCCGAGTCGAAAAAACGGACCAACATCTGGTCTCTACCCTGGACTTAGAAGAACGAGTTTGTGGTGAAATGAAAGAACAATCTCATGCATCGTGAATGTGCGTAAAGCCACAGAAAAGGCATTCCTGGCTGAAATCATTTGCCACTAATACCCAAATCTATGGCGGAGGCAAAGGAGCTGGTTCAACATCTGGATAACGTTTTTTTTTCTCCCCTCTCTCCCCTTTTTTCTTCTTTCCTTTTAAACCGCAAGTCTTATGTAAATCAATAAGGCAACCAGAACTTGCAGCGGTATGTCGGGAGTGATCTTGCTTCCATGGCAAACAAAAGAAACGCTGATTGAAATGCAAGTAACAGAAACGAGGAAGTAGGGAAGAAAAGTTGGCAAAGCGGCCGTGCAGACTTTAGCAGACGAGACAAGTGCACAGGCCCGGGTCGGCGTGGACTCTGGGCGCACTCGGCTCGTAAACCTGAGGCGTTGGACTTCAGTGTGGATGTTGTGGATGATGTGGGGCCGTGAAGCGATGCAAAGTCCATGTCTGGAGCGTGACGGATTATCAGCACTGTTGGCGTCTAGCAGGACACTGTTGGCGAAGGTTACAGACATACAGTATAAGAACTGGCCGTTTAGCTTCAGAGGAAGAAGAAAAATCACTTGTACCTTTGAGTATACAGTAACAACTATAGATTTCTGTTGGTACTCTCAAGGACTATGCTGTGGCAACTTTTAATAACTGATGTTGGAGCTATGGCAATGTCTGTCCCATTAACCCTTGTTAGAGGCATAGAAAAAATAACTAGGGGGTTGAAAAACACACCATTTCATTGTTATTAGTGCTCTACATCTTGGAGGGGAAAAAAATCACATTGTTTTCAATGAGGAGTGAACATTGACAGATGCAGTTTGATGGGAAAAGTGCCTAAAACCAATTATAGACAGTGCCCAATGAGGTAGATTTCAGTTCCAAGCTTCAAGTTGATATAGACAAAAAAAAACCATTAAAGGGTCAATGAAGTATGTCTCAATCCCTTTCACCTCTCGACATATGATGGTCCTTCACGGTGGCACGGTGGCTGAGTGGATACCACTCTCGCCTCTCAGCAAGAAGGTCCTGGGTTCGAATCCCGGTCGGACCAGGGCCTTTCTGAGTGGAGTTTGCATGTTCTCCCCGTGTCTGCGTAGGTTTCCTCCGGGTACTGCGGTTTCCCCTACCTCTAAAAATATGTCCAATAGTTCTGGCATGTGCCTCCTGTACTGGCGACCCCGCTCCCATCTCTGTGTGGAGTGAGAGACAAATGCCCAAAATTAACAATTGTAAACCGCTTTGAGACTCAGATCTGCAGTGAAAAGGCGGTATATAAATAAAAAACTTACTTACTAACTTACTTCCTGTCGGATACCGTCTCTCATGGACTCCACTACTAAAATAATCCAATAGTCTGCCTCCTTAACCCTGTTGCAGGAGAACAGACCCCTCTCTCTGCCCCTCGACCTCATACCTTTGCAAATGTACTGTTCACTCGAGGGGAATTTACTCCTGGCATTCCTCACTGATGTTTGTTAATTGAAATTCCCAAAATAGAAGTTCCAGGTTTAGAAAAGAAATTGGCCGAGCATAACGTGTTGTTGACATTAGACCAAATTGCATCTGGAGGCATCAACGATTCAAGAGCCTCATTAAAGATTTGATTGGCCATTTGCAGTAAAACCACATTAGATTAACTGTGCGAGACCCCAGAGTGCACCAGGAGAGTACACACCAGAGCTCCTGTGTGTATTGTGTATATACAGTAAAAAGGCTACGTCTGTTGAAATAAAAGTGAAAGAAGAATACATATTTCTAGAATTACACGATGCAGACCTGTCCGCCAACTCCTAGAATGAATAACTTTCTTTTTGCACATTACCCATAATGCATAGCCCCATCTGTTCAGGATAATATTTGGTATTCTGCAAAGACAAAGTTCCAGTTGAGATTTTTGGAGCAGTCAAGAGCACAGCAACAAGTTTTTTCTCCCGTTCTTTGGCTAAAGCTTTACTCACAATGAAAACAGAGAAATCTACAATAAACATTTCTTTCATCTACCTCAAAAGCAAAAAGGATTTCGGTTTGATCACATTTGATGAAAAAACAGCCATTTGTTAAAGTTATTGTGGCTCAGAGACAGTGTTGGGGAGTAACTGAATACATGTCTAGTATTTAGAAACAGTCACTTTCTCAAAATCATGGGAATAAATACTTTTTTACAATAGGTTTTTAAGGTTAAAAAAAGAAAAGAAAAGACTGGTTATTCTTAAAGTGAAAATGTTGAAGCAGTTTAACCTGTTTTACCAAAATAACATAAAAAAAAATCATTGAATAATTACAGAATATGTTTTATTTGTTGGATAAATAAGGAGGTTGTGGTTTTAAATATTTTGAAATTTACCTCATTAAGTTTTGTAAATGATCAATAAATATAATCTTTATTTATATACCGCCTTTCACAGACCAGAGTCACAAAGCGGTTTACAATTGTTATTTTTTGGGCACTTGTCTCTCACTCCACACAGAGATGGGAGCGGGGTCGCCGAACAGGAGGCGCATGCCAGAACTATTGGACATATTTTTAGTGGTAGGGGAAACCGGAGTACCCGGAGGAAACCTACGCAGACACGGGGAGAACATGCAAACTCCACTCAGAAAGGCCCTGGTCCGGCCGGGATTCGAACCCAGGGCCTTCTTGCTGAGAGGCGAGAGTGCCGCCCATATATATATAGATATTTTCATATAGATATACCAATAAAAATAATCAAAAGTATGAGTACAAGTCTTTGAAGTTTTCAGAATGGAACGGAACTCTATAAAAAATACATTTCTGGTCAATATTCTGGAACGCAATACATTTTCAAAGTATTTTACCCAACACTGCTGAGCGAAATGCAAAACATCCAGATTTGAAGTCTGAAAGTGCGTTTGCTGAATAGGAGGAAGTTGGTCCAAGGATCCAGGGCTTCGGTCCGAGGCCTCACTACAGGAAGGTGTGACGCGGCCGGAGACAATGGCGGCTTCCTTGGCGGCGCACACGCTCGGACAGGAAACCCGCTGCTTACAAAACGCCTCACTCTTTCTCACACTCACTTAGCTTCGCCACTTCACACATATTTTCCATCGTTACCTCAAACAATCACTTATCCAGAAGCGGAGAACGTTCCAGATTTGACACCGAAGCAAAGCAGAAATACAAAGTTCCCAGACATAACATCGGAGAAAGGGCTCAAGGTAAAAGCTAAAGAAAAAAACTCAGTCCTTTAAAACAACATACAGTATATAGTTGTTATGAATCGCCGCGTTTAAGGCTGTATTTGGCTACGACTATATATTTCTTGCACTACAATATTTTACTAATATAAAACTAGCCTCTTTATTATGCTAAAGTTAGATATGTTATACTTGCTATACAATGCTAAATGCTGTGCTAGGTCCAGGATTAAGCTAAAGGTTCAGGCTAAAGCTAAAGCTAAAAGAAAAGTCTGACAGACACGTTGATGTGAAGAGGAAATAATGCTAAACAAACAAGGCGCTCGTAGACTGCAGACCTCCACCGAGAGGCGCAGGTCTTTTCCCTAATAGAAAATCAAGACGATGCAGCAGAAACCATACATCCATACAAACATCAATGAAAACATATTTTCAAAAGTTACAAACAATAGTGCTAAACGGCACATGTTTTTTTTACGACCAAAAGAACAAAAGGCTTGACGTAAAAGGCAGATCGCGACTGCATCAATCAATCCAGACGATTTCAGAGCATGTACAGCACAATCCACAAACTAAGTGTATTTTTGTGAGGACCTAAACCACAACAGCAGTCGCCTCTGAGGACTTTACAAAGTTGTTGATTCTCCAACAGCAGATCAGAGAATCAAACCGTTAGAAGACCAATGCACTAAAACCAAACACATAGAAGCCACCGGTTCATAGGGTCAGGGATGACAACTGTCCATAAATGTCCATAAATATCCATAAATGTCCATAAATGTCCATAAATATCCATAAATGTCCATAAATGTCCATAAATGTCCAGAAATGTCCATAAATGTCCGGAATCATCACTGTCCTTAGACCCTTGTGCTTCGACAAAGAACGACTCAAACCAAACAACACACATTCGCACAATCACAGGTTTGTTTACCAATCTATGAAGCTAGTTTCTTGTTTTTATGCTTTACGTGAGTGATCCACCATTGCTTGAATACTGTATATCCATTAGGAGACAATTCTAATACCACAATGTACACGTAAGCTTCGGGGCCAAAACAAATGCTGCAAGTTATTGATAATAATAGAGAATAATTATAGGGGCCACAATAATTGTTTGAGTTTGCATGAAAGATTGATGGGAAGCCAGAAAACAATTTGAATATCCAATCTAATCCACTTTATTTATATAGCACATTTCATACACACACAGTTTCCAAAGTGCTGTACAACATGCAAAATGGCAACAAACAAATACACACGTTTATATTAAAAAAATAAAATAAAATAAAAATAAAATAAATACAATTAAAATAAAACTCACGCGGGGTTAAAAGCCAGAGAATAAAAGTGGGTCTTAAGACGAGACTTAAAACATTCCAACGAGGGAGTTATTTTGACGTGGGGGGGCAGAGCGTTCCAGAGTTTTGGTCCAGCCCCAGAGAAGGCCCTGTCCCCGGGTTTTAAGTCTGGTCTTAGGTACTGGAGCTGGAGCTGGGCCTCGGACCTCAGCTCGCGGGGCGGACGGTAAATTTGGATGAGGTCCGAGATGTAAGGAGGGGCCAGTCCCTTCAAAGCTTTAACAACAAACAATACAATCTTAAAATCAATTCTAAAATTAACAGGAAGCCAGTGCAATATTTATTGAGTTAAACAGACAAAACAAACTAGCTTTAAACATTAGCAACGCCCCAACCATTTTGAATACAGCTAGATGATGTTGTTTTTGTTTTTTTACATTGGCGCATTAA